GGTCTGTTACTCTTCCTAGTTATTTAGTGGGGTTTTTTGTATTCACTACATTGGCTACTTTTTGTTAATGTCTTTTTTGGTTGAGGTTGTATGAGCAATTTGTTTTACATAAGCCGTACATCATAGGATGTGTGTGACTACATAGCTTTTATGAGGATATCTCCTGGCTGGCACCCCAGTAAATAACAACATACAAATTGTGGTTGCACACAAAACTTGTCACAAACTAAACTGCGTTCCCTTGTTAAGTTTTGCTTTTGTTTATGGGTCCCAGCAGTAATATTTAATAGTGTCAATACACTTTCTGATTATTTTGGGTTAGGGTTGTGGTGTTCCTGATGTTTTTCCTGCAGTAGTTGGGAAGGGTAGTTTTACATTTAAGTTGTACCTTTTTTGGTGATATGGTGGACATTATGAGTGGTTGACAATTCACATTTTCCAGGATATCTCCTAGCTCGGACCCTATAAAATAAAAACAAAAAATAACAGTTGCACACAAAGCTGTCAAAGGCAGAAAAACATTTTATTAAACCTTTCCAAACTTCACATGTCCAGTTTTTGACACAGGGTTTTTGTTATACATTTTTCTCCTAACCCCCGCTAAGATAATCCTAGTGACATAACAAAACCTTTCTTGTTATTTCAGATCCTGCCTTCCTGCTGGCCCTTAAGGCCCTGACACACCAACCCGATTTTGGGAGTCAGAGGCCGTCGGGCATTCGCGGCGCCCTACTCAGGTTGGTGTGTCCCGCATCGTCGTCTCTTTACGGCACATTTTCACACCTCCCGCGATCGATTCAACTTGTTGACCAAAAAAATTCAGACAGTTGGCCAAAGAAAGTCGGCCAAAGAAATCACTCTGATTGGCTGTTCAGCTCAGCGAATCAGTGCATGAGAAGCGAAGCACCAAAACAAACGATTGAGAAGGCACGCACAGACAGACAGAGCTACTGTCTACCACTGTTCATTGTTCATTTATCTATTGTGAGCATCACATGGAAATGTACATTTTGCAAGAAGTGGCCATTATTCAGATGGGTGTTTCTGTCTGCCCCTCCATTCTTTCTCTCATTATCCTCCACAATCTGCCTAGAAGTATGTTAACGTTGTAGCTGTTCAAGATGGTCATTTTAAAATGTGTTAAAAATATACTGTTAGTAGTTAAACCAATAATAATGTACGGCTGCAACTGACAGTTATGTAGGCACATTTTTTATTAACGCTGTGTGATTAAAAGAATAAACACAAATAGCAGGATAGGCAATACAAAACTTTATTTCGTACCTTGATACTACAGCCATTGATAACACAGCATTAGACATATTTGGCAAACTCTTTTTTTTATTGTATTACACACTATTTTTATCGTATTGTATTTTTGTCGATTGTTTACATTGTACAGTTCTTTAGACATATTTGCTATATCTTATCCCACTGAAAAGGCACTGCACCGACACCGTTAAAATATTGGCATCCCTGTGCTGCTTGGCTCGAGCTGGAATATTGGTTCCGTTCGGCAGGTTCGGGAAAGCCCCCTGAGCTTCTCGCTGTAGTATCCATGTTTTCACCCATTTAGTGAAGTTTCTCCTGATTTTTCGCTTCCGCTTCTTAATCTCTGTCAGCCGCAAGCAACACTCCAATTGCTGATAACACCAGTACCAGGTTTTCTGGCCGTCATGGTTTATGTTGTGCTCTTCCTTCTCAAGACGTCCTGTGTCGTTCGGTAAGACGGTCCCTTATTCACTGCCACTTTCCACTATCTATGACACCCCGATAACTCCCTTTCTCATTGTCACTCCCCAACCCGACCCAATTTGGTCCACGCTCCCCATACCTCGACTAACATTTCCGGCGAATGTGGTGGTTGGACTCTGGTTTCTTGTACATGGCTCCGCAGGGTTTGAAAATTCGCAGCCGTCATTGAAGGAAATGGTCGTCCCATCGCCATCACACATAAGCAGTAATTTTTTTCCGTTGTTGGCCTTCTGTCTGACGCAATATGTGGCTCTCTTCTTCTTGTCTGACGCACTATTATTTGTTTGTTGTTATCCAGACCCAAGGTAAAAGTTAGAGAGAGAGCTAGCTTTTGGTACA